TCTGAGGAGAGGTCAAGAAGCAATGGGCTTTAATTGCAGCAAGGGAGGTTTAGGTTGGACTACCTGTCAGGGTGGTTAAACAGTGGAGTAAATTGCCTAGGGAGGTTGTGGAATCACCATCACTGGAGATATTTAAGAGCAGGTTAGACAGACATGAAGAGAAGGATGATCTGATGATGAGGACTTGATGACCTCTCAAGGTCCCTTCCAGTTCTGTGATTCAATATTGATTTAAATTTTAAGGGTAGAGACTAGCAGTGCTTTGTTCCTGTGTAGCTTAATGCACTTTCAAAGCAGGCTAAGTTAAAAAGGAGGCAGGCACTCCTTGCTGCACTTTAAATTCACACTCTACCATAATCTGAAATGACTTTCCTGTGTAGACACAAAAACTGGAAGCTCCTTGAGTGCCGGGATCTTGAGTGAAATCCTGGTACCCACTGAAGTCAATGGCAAAACCACCCCTGAATTCAGCAGGGCCAGTGTTTTGTTACTTTCATTTTTACATATTCTGGTGTAGTGCCCAACACGCACGGGGAGGCACAAACATAATGACAATTAACGATAAGAATTCACTGTACAGGATCTGCCTAGTTTTGCAGATTCGGTAAATCTGAATAAAAACATGTAACATTCTCTCCCCTCTCCCCCCTCTCCGCCTCCCCCGAGGTATTTAGAAACAGAAGTAATAATAATATGTTCTTTCTTTCTTTCTTTCTTTCTTTCTTTCTTTCTTTCTTTCTTTCTTTCTTTCTTTCTTTCTTTCTTTCTTTCTTTCAGACAGGAAACATAGCTGGATCAATTGACAGGCTATTTTGTTTGTTTCCTTGTTTAAGTTGGTGTCTGTGAGTGGTGTGTTTTCCGTATTGTGTGAGAGTGGGTGGCTGGACTATGTGTCCCTCTGTGTGTGTGTGTGTGTGTGTGTGTGTGTGTACATTTCTAAGGGCTTGTCTTCACTACACAGAGATTGATTCCCCCGCAATCGATTTATTATGTCTGCTTAGACATGATAAATCAACCACTGAGTGCTCTTATCGAATCCGGTACTCCACCAGGACAAAAGGAGGAGCGAGAATCAACAGGAGAGCAGCCCCCACTTACCTTACCATGTGGAAGACGCTGCACTAAGTACATCAACTTCAGCTATGGTATTTGCATACCTGAGGTTGTGTAGGTTATTTTGACTAGGAGGGAAGGGGATCTTAGCGTAGACTAGGCCTTAGGGAAATTAAACTGAAGGATGAGTTGCATTTGGTCCTGAACAAGGCAAGGTCTATGGTTATTTCAGTCTCTTGTGGGAGCAAGCTCCTACTCAAAGCTGATTAGAAAGAAGCATTATCTCCTGGGACCAAGGATCCTAACATTGCGTCTGCTACTGACCCACCACGTGATTTTGGGCCAGGTGCTTTATCTTTCTGGACCTCAGTTTCCCCATCTGTAAGAAGAAAATCACGATCGTCACCTACATTTGTAACGTGCTTTGAGATTCTGATCTAGTGTAGGCTCTTTGAAGATGCTCATCGTTGTGCAGATGAAAGGTGCTACCAAAAATGAAAATTCTCAGTCATAATAATAATAATTAATAATATTTTAACATATAATTGAATTAACATAATTATATTACTTTTACACTGGTTTTCATACCAGGGTAATTCTATGCACTCCAGTGGTGACTTACTGTAGTCTGACACCGGTATGGGGGTATGTCTACACTGCAGAGTTTTTTCAGAAAAATGGCAATTTTTCCGAAAAAACTTCACTGATGTCCACACTGCAATCACATTCTTTTGAAAAAAAAAGAACAGAGGGGTTTTTCTGACATTGTTAAACCTCTTTCTGTGAGGAAGAGGCCTTTTTGCAAAAGAGCTCTTGTGGAAAAAGGCGTGTGTGGACGGGGAAAAGGGAGATCTTTCAAAAGAAGCGGAAAGAGGAAAAAGCACAAGTGCTTGGTAGCCACTCGGTTCATAGTAATCACAGCTTAAATGCGAGATAGCTTCCATTCAGTGTGGATGCTATCTTTTGAAAAAGCAGATCACTATTTTGATGTGCTTTTGCTGTGCAGACGCTCTCTTTAGGAAGACGTTTTATCGGAAGATCTCTTCTGGAAAAGCTTCTTCCAAAAGAAGCCTGCAGTCTAAACATAGCCTGGCTGATTGCTTGGTAGAACACCACACAATCTATTCCACTGCCAGAGGCTCCTGGCCCATTCCTAGACTGTGAGAGCATAAAGGCAATGCAAGTGGACCTTATGTTCAAAAAAGCTCTGCGCCCATTGTGCCCCACTCCTTGGAATATCTAGCCCTTGGTGAAGGAGGGTCTCAGATGCCACATATTGCTGATGCTCACCATTTTATTGCTAGTATCATGGTATCTGGTGTCTTTTCTTAAAGCTTCAGCTTCTGCAGTCAAGTGACTATGTGGGAACCTTAATTTAATTTTTTTTAAAAAGGATGTTTCCAGCCAAGGGGAGGCAAGTAGGGATGCAGGCCTCCCCTCCCCTATATTCATCTCCAAAATATGTGTGTCGGCTCCAGACACTACTCCAGCCCCGGCTCTCAGCAGCTGCTCCAAGCTGGCTACCACTCCCCCCAAAGTGGTCAAATTTAAATTCTCACACATGCCCCCATTTCTAGCCCTCATGCCGCCTTGCCAAGTCAACCCGGAAGGCTTCAAAACCAGAAGACAAAAAAACAAACAAACCCACCCTCCAAATGTATCGTGGAACTCTCATGATTTTTAAACCAATCATGCTTTTGAGGTGGGATAGGGTCTCCTTGTGATGTCTGAATGAGCAATACAGGATCCTGAGCTGTAATATAGCAGAGTTAAAAGCGGTTGTGTCTAGAGGTTTTCTCAGATAAAGGAGACATTGCTGTACTTCAGGATTTGACCAAAGTCATCAAGACTGTAAGTATTGTAATGCCATCGTGTGTGAGGCTTACTTCAAGGAGACCTCTGTTTGGTCTAATGATGAGTCTTTGAGGTGATAAAAACATAGCGCACATGGCCGCCCTCCCCAAACTCTGATTAAGAAACCTTCTAATCCGACGAGAGGTTCCCTCAGGCTAATGGATGCATTTTTTTTACACCGGCGCTGTAATAAAACACAAAATAAAACAATTTTATTGAAATTAAAATGCAAATGGGACACGGGTGTCTCTCTACCCACCTCCTCCCACCCCCAAGTCACTCTCTGGCCAACGGCAATGTGGATTGAGTAATAATACTTTGTGCGAACAGTGGGTCCAAATCAAAATCTGTGAGCCAAAGACCCCCAGACGTCTTGGGGCTTTAAAAATCTGGAGGCTAATTTTTCAGCTGAAGTCAATCTCTTCTTTCACCATATATAATTATTTCTTTACGTGAACTGAAATCGGAGTTCATTGTGCTAGAATACTTTGTAAGAAACAATCCCTGTATCAAAGGACTTGCAATCCAAACAGGCAATGGGTGGGAGAAAAGTAGGGTTACTTGCCTCCATTTTACTGATGAAAAACTGAGGCAGGGAATGGGTGTCATAACTTGCCTGGATTTATAAGGTGAATCAGTTGCAAAGCTGTGACCAGAAGCCAACCCGCCTGATTCCCATTCATGTGCTGTAACCTCAACACTACGCTCCGTTCCAAGGCATTTGGAGAGTTCGAAACACCCAATATGACAAATAACAGGATTCAGATTGGCTGGACACTGCTAAATGTTTTACAGTGCAGATTTTATTCATTTATTATAACACAGAAAGAACTTTGCCACACCAATCAGTGAAGTGCAAAATGACTGCCAGGAACAATCCAAGGTACATCAACAAAGTGGTCTGCACCAACACCCGGTCTGCAGTACAGACGTATGTCATAACTTCCATGATTTTCCTGCCTGGCTTTAAGGGACGGTGGAAAGGGCTTGCTGACTAGTAGGGTTGTTCTAGATAGCAGAAAGGGCTGATCTGCTAATGAACGGAGCGGTGCTTCTTGCCTTGTCTACATTGGCATGTTCTGTTGAGAAAAACTGCCTTTGGGCAACAAAAACCTCCATGTGTCCACGTTACAGTGCAGCAAATGTCATAACGTGCAGCTGTTTTTCATGACAGACAACTTCCACCTCTGCGAGGAATTTTAGTCTCTACGTGGTCGACAATCATGCCGTATGTAGCAGACGGGTTTTGTTGTTGCATTTATTGGACTCCAGTGTGTATCCCTGTTTAGCCACTCTGGACAGCATCTTGAACTCGGATGCCCCTCAGCCATGTAATGTTTACAGGTAAAATGCTCCCCTCCCGCTGCAAACCCCAGGAAATTTAAATCCATTTCCTGTATCTGTGGCACATTGTGTGGTGGTCCTTGTGTTGTCTTCTCAAGGAAACAGAGGTGGCAGCTCTAGACCCAAATGCTCCCCAGCTTGGAGCAATGCAGAGCTTTTGGATCTATTTGGTTGGGGAGGGGAGTGAAGATTCAGTGCAAACGGAGCTGCAAGTGACCCATAAGAACCAGGACACAAATACTCGCATTGCTTAAGCTCTGTAGTGCCAAGGGGTATGAGCAAGACACCCTACAATGGAGAACCAAGATCAAGGACCTCTGGCAGGCCTACCACAAGGCAAAGGAGGCAAACAGCCAGTCTGGTGCTGTACCCAAAACATGCCAGTTTTATAAAGAACTGCACAGAATTCTGGGTGGAGACCCCACAACCAAAGCCAAGGACACTGGGGATAGTTCTCAGAAGAGAAAGAACCAGAAATACCATTGGTAGGTGGGGTCACTCTGTACACCCATCCTTCTAGAAGGGTTCTGCTGGTTAACGTTGTTAGAGGTCACATTACACTGGTCTCTAGATTCAATGTGGGGTAATTGAGGCATATCTTCTTCCGATTCTTTTTTGTGGAAGAGGTTTTGCCACTAAAAAGCCCCGTGTAGACGGGGCCATTTGTCAGGGAAAAAAAACGTTTTTCGCAAGATCCTGTAAACTTCAATTTTTGAGGAATAAGGGATCTTGTGAAAAGGGTGGTTTTTTTCCCGCAGCATGGATATGAGATTAGAATCCAGCCCATGGTAACCTAACTAGCAGATGGCATCTCCTGACTAAACGTGTAGATGGCCAGGCTGGCGGGCAAGGGTTTTCCCAGAGCTGGGGGGACAGCATTCCCATGTTAATGGAAGACATCCACGGTTTGGTTCTGACCTCAGTTGAGTCGTGCTGATTTCAAAGCACCCCTGAATTACGCCAGCACACGCAGGTTCCAAATCAGACTTTCCCTGTGCCGTAGCGACGGCTGCTGCTGGGAGAGGGGTCCTGCTGGCTTGTGGAAGCGATCACGGTGCTGGGGAGGGGGTCCCCTGGTAGCTGCTGATAGACAGGCTAATAACACAGGAACAAATTAAACATGTAAGAAAACAGTGCTGCACCTGGAGCAACAAGAGCAAGGGGAACTGATGCAACTAGCGTCAAAGCCAAAAAGGAACTATAACTCATAGAAATATGTTGGTGTCTCCACCCCCAATCTCTCCTTGCCTCTTATTTCAAAGGCAAACCCTGCACTGTACCATGTGGCATCTCCAGCCTTAAATCTCCCTGTCTTCGAGTGCTTGTAATGTGAGACGGCCGTCCAGGAGCTCACCCCCTCGAAGGGCTTGCGGCGGCATACAGTGAGCGAGGGATGGCAGGGGGAAACATACCTGTGTCATTCCTGCACCACCGCATTCTCCTCCCTCCTTCTGCAGTTAGAGGAGCTTTCTCTGCCGTCGCATTTCCATGCCTTGGTCTGAGAGATCAGCAGTCTGTCTAGCGCATGTCCAAGCACAGTGGGGGTCCTGTGTGTGGTTCTGCTCAGGAAGAAGCATGGTCTTGGGCATCGGGAGAGGCGGGCTGAACTCCCGGCTCAGTGTGCCCCCGTGGGCAAGTCACTTGATCGCTCTGTGCCTCGCTTTCCCATTTGTAAAATCAGAGAGGACCGTAATGCCTCCTCCTTCTGCGAAGGGCGGCAACAGCCTCCTACTGCTACCAGTTTGTGGAGTCACTCCCAGTGATGAAAGTACCTTAACATTTCTTACCGTAGGGTACGTCTAGACTACATGGCTCCGTCGACGGAGCCATGTAGATTTGTTTGTTCGGCAAAGGGGAATGAAGCCGCGATTTAAATAATTGCGGCTTCATTTAAATTTAAATGGCTGCCCCGCTCTGCCGACAAAAAGCTGATCGGCAGAGCGGGGCAGCCATTTAAATTTAAATGAAGCCGCAATTATTTAAATCGCGGCTTCATTTCCCTTTGCCGAACAAACAAATCTACATGGCTCCGTCGACGGAGCCATGTAGATTTGTTTGTTCGGCAAAGGGAAATGAAGCCGCGATTATTTAAATCATGGCTTTATTTCCCTCTGCTGATCAGCCTAATATACATGGCTCCATCGACGGAGCCATGTACTTCAGACACACCAGTACTGTCCTCCTGGAACCCAGGTCCCTGACAGTTCTTTCAATAGCTCCCTGCTGGCTTTTGCCGCAGCTCAGCCAGCTCTTGCCGGAGCTCAGCCACTTACTTTCACCTCTGGTCACCCCTTTAGTTCAAGTGACAGAAGTCTATGCCACTGCGGGTCTTGGGTTCAAACTCTACAGATGACCTGCCTGGGCGGTCATGACCTGAGCTGCCTCAGCTGTATGTGTATTGAGTCATAGGAAATGGCACAGGCATGGGCATAGAAACCACCAAAGTCAATGAGCGTGGCAACAATTTGGGGCAGAGGCCAGCTTTCTGTTTTTGTCTGTACAGCGCCTGGCACACTGGGATCCCAGCCAATGCCAGGCACTACCCCAAACCGAAGAACGATAATGAGATGACCGCATATGGACGCCGACGCCTCGAGGCTTCTCTGAACCAATACCTCTGTCGGAGCTGGCGAGGAGCATCTGTGCTCTTATTGGGGTGCTGTTATGGATAAGCTCAGCTCCCTGGAAGGTCGGGAACTCTCGCTAGCGGGAGAGCCGTATCACTGTTCAAGAGCCGCTCTGGTTCTCTAGCCAGGATGGAGTTTTTCCTTTCCTGTGCTTCTGCCATCCAGCAGCTGTGCCATGCGGCCCGGGGAGAGCGGGAGAGCATGAAGAGCTCTACAAACACTCCTTAAAACTGCCGCGGGAAAAGCAGAAACTTTCCACTGTTTAACCTCTGTGTTGGCTGTGCAGGGATGGGAGCCTCATCTACAAGTCTCCCGGCCTCCCTATAAAAGCCACTCTGTGTAAATCTCCCATCCATTTAGCCCCTGGCTCTGCTGCTCCTTGTTTATTTGGTCTCCACTCAAACATGGCAGCCTGCAAGCATGTGTCTCTTGAGTCATTTATCTCCCCGTGTCAAAGTCGAGGAAGAAGTGGCCAAAGTTTAAACTGTGTTTCCAGGCAGGAAGATAAATCACAACTCCACCAGCCTCTCCCCTCCCCCCCCCCCCAGCCCCGCCCCTGAGG